AAAATGTTGACTCAAAACTGATAACCAAAGACAGCTTTATTTATTTGTCAAATTATTATAGAAACCAACGCCAAACCAGCACAATATTTTTTCTACTCGTAATAAATTGAAATAATAATTTCGAATATTTTAAAACGTAACTCGTTATGGAACAAAATATTGTTTTATACACGACGATAAATTGCATTATCGTCAACCGAAAAGGATAAAATCGCGAGTAAATTAAATTCGTGAGACGATAATGCAATTATATAAAAAAAAATTATATAGAATATTTTATTGCCTTGAAAAAAATAACTATTATTCGATGTTGTATTTTAAATTTCACAAAAATAGGAATTCGTAAAAATATCTTCATGTTATGGATGTTGAACTAGGGATCATCCTGCTTATAACAATTCACAAATTATTTTTAATACACAATAGCGTGTTGATTTAACAATAGATACATTGATCCGTAGATTTATTATTATTATTTAAATTATGATGGATGATGGTACAATGTTATATTTTCGTTAATTTTTTTCTTATTGGGTATACGAATTTCTATCACATGAGGTCAGATCACTGATGTATTGTGTTATTTTTTTTATAATACTAGTTATTGTTATATTCTAAAAAAAAAGAAAAATATAATAAATATTTAACTAATTAATATTAACTAATATATTTATTACACTACTTTGACAGTAACCCTAAGAACAATTTCTAATTTTTATATCGTAGTTTTAGCGTTTAACAAGAACTTAACTCACGATAACTGTCACTGTGAAAAGCTTCATCTATTGGATATAGGTTAGTTCGTATACTAGTAGTAGTGCTATCTAATGCAGTATTTAATATATGTGTCACATTTTATAAAGAAAAATTTGATTTATATCAATAACTCTGAGATTTGACAGCTTGTGTCATGCTTGTTGTGAGATTTCACAACCTCTATAATTTATTTTTTAATGAATTTTCTAGCATATAAGATTAAAAAAAGCCTCGGAACAGAAAAGTAAAAGAATAGGACAAATTAAAACACTATCACTGTACCGGGTGTCCCACTAAGAATAGCTCTCGGCTGTATCTCGGAAAGTATTAGCCGTAGGGCTTACGGAAAAAATATTTATAACTAAAGGGGCTATGAGAAATTGCTGGAAATTATTTTCAAGTTTGTAAAACGGCCGCTAGGTGGCGCAACTGCTATGGAAAATAAGAAAATATATTTTTTACAGAATTTTGCCTAGATAATGGGTACTATAAATAATAGCTTCATAATCTTCAGTAAATTTTGGATTTTTTTTGTTAGAACCATTTTCCCCTATCTGCTAAAATAAAGTGGTGGGGGAAGGTTAGATCTATCTTTATTTAAATGTTAATAACTCCGGACTGGATGATCAGAATCCAACAAACGGGGCTCGTTTAAAAGAGCGTTTCTTACTCTATATTATACCATAAAAATAATAATAATAAGGTTTTGAACGTAGACGCTAGGGGGCGCTTTCTTACAATTTAACAAATAGCACGTTTTTTCCAAAAAATTAAATACGATAGTATGTGTTATTTTAGCTGATAGTAAAGAGTAGTAATAGCTTAAAAAGTCAGCTAAAACGCATCTTGATATCTTCTTTCAAACCGAAGATATTAGCAAAATTATAAAATAAATACCAAAAACTAAGCCCTTAATTACCTTATTTTTACAATACAGTATCAGTAGCCCTCTTGATTAGACCTATTCTAACAAAAAAATAAGATAGAAACAGTTAGTTTATTTTAAAATTGAGGAAATACCAGAATATCATAATACCAGATGTATTAATATCTAATAATTAAGATAATAATAGTGAACAAGAAACGATGATTCAGTGAAGTCATGGTAGGCTTTGGAAAAAAGTTGCTTTTCGCGTAATAGTATAAACGTCAAATTTTTATTAGATCAACATTTTGATGTCTTAGCAGCGTTTTTTTTTAATCTTTTAAATGCTTTTTCAAAATGCCTTTATTATTTGAAGTAGTTGAAGTTGCTGGCATTTTGAAAAAGCAATCAAAAGATAAAAAACGCTGCTAAGACTATCAAAATGTTGATCTAATAACAATTTGATGTTTATACTATTACGTCAAAAGCAACTTTTTTCCAAAGCCTACCATGACTTCACTGAATCATCGTTTCTTGTTCACTATTATTAATATCTTAACTATTAGATATTAATACATCTGATATTATGATATTCGGATATATCGTCGATTTTAAAATAAACTAACTATTTCTATCTTATTTTTAGGTTAGAGTGGGCATAATCAAGAGGGCTACTGATACCGTGTTGTAAAAATAAAGTAATTAAGGGCTTATTTTTTGGTATTTATTACAATTTTGCTAATATCTTCTGTTTGAAAGAAGATATCAAAATGCGGTTTTCGCTGACTTTTTAAGCTTTTACTACTCTTTACTATCAGCTAAAATTACATATACTATTGTATTTAATTTTTTTGAAAAAACGCGCAATGTTTGTTACATTGTAAGACAACGCCCTCTAGCGTCTACATTCAAAAGCTTATTATTATTGTTTATATGGCACAATAGAGAGTAAGAAACGCTCTTTTAAACGAGCCCTCGTTTCTTGGATTCCGATCATTCAGTCCAGAGTTATTAATATTCAAATAAAAACAGATGTAACCTGTATTTTGGTAGATAGGGGAAAATGGCTCTAACAAAAAATATTCAAAATTTACTGAAGATTATGAAGTTGTTACTTATAGTACACCTTATCTAGGCAAAATTGTGTAAACACTCAATTTTCTTATTTTTTGTTGCAGTTGCGCCCCCTAGCGGTCGTTCTACAAACTTGAAATTAATTTCCAGCAATTTTCCATAGCCTCTTTAGTTATAAATATTTTTTTCCGCAGCCGCTACGGCTAATACTTTCCGAGATACAGCCGAGAGCTATTCTTAGTGGGACACCCTGTACATTATACCGTATGATCGATGAAAACTTCGCCAAGTTACTTAGAAATTAACAATCGATGACTTATATCAGAATATAATTTTACATGTAAAACATCATTTGCCATTTCTAGAGTAGCTTGACGTCGTTTTTTTTCTTCATATGTTACTTAAAAAATAAGAAATTTAATTATTATACCAGGTGTCTTAAACAAGTGCAATAAGTCCAAAATAACCAAGTTATTTTCCTTTGAAAATTTAAAAAACAAATGATTTTCTGCTTAAATTTTGAGAACCATTGGATGTTTCTGGGATATCTTTCTAGTAATTTTACTATACTATTTATAGCTTCATTCCGAAGTTCGCAATTAGTGGAATAAATTAGTGGTTTCAATTACACTTTATACTTTTTAGTTTACCATCATTAACAATATCTAAAACACACAATTAAAATTAATAGAATATCCCAGCAACAGCAACAGCTTGCAGTAATCAGTTATATCCATAGAGAAAGCCTAATATTTAGTTTATAAAACAATAAACTTTGGGTTTCTAACCACATTTTCTCTTGAATGATGATAATTAACCGCCAAAATGACACTGCTCGCAAATTTTAAATTATAATTCACTAATTATTATTCCACTGAAAAGGTAAAAGTTTGTTAACTTTCTCCACTAATTGAAAATTCGTACCACTAATTTTGACGCTGTGAATGCTTACATTCAAATTAGAGGAACAAACTTCTACGCTAATTGAAACCACTAATTTATTCTACTAATTGCGAGGTTCTGAATGAAGCTTATGTTTTTAAAGAATTAAATTTTTTTTTTCGAAAAATTCCAAATTTTCAATTGTTTTTTTCGGTGCAAGGTTTTTCGGGGTAGTATATTTGCACTTATTTAAGACTCAACTTTGTATATATAGATATTCAGATGTAACATAATGTTTTCGGATGACGGTTAATTTATCATAGTCTCCCTACTGCTAAACCGCTAAACCTCTAAATTACATGCCTCGTGCCATAATTGCAGTGTTTTTAGTAAGCACATACCGACAGGAAAATTGGTCGTTTGTCATTAGCCAAAAGCACCATAAAAAGCCGCTATCGATCTACCGAAGGCCTTTTAAACGATACAGGACGTTGACGTTGGGGTGTCCACTGTCCACTCCGTCTACACCGGACTGCATCTAATAGATTTTAAGGGACGGATTTATTGGTCCGTCTGCGACACTTTAGCCACAAGTTTGACGTTAAACACAAGATTAATGGTTTAAAACGTACTATATATAGTACGGTTTTTATACGGCAAGACTTTGAGTTCAATAGTTTTTGTACCTACAACAGGGTGTGGATATGTCTACGTTTATTAATTAGACTTCGAAGCTTTCAGCCTTCTTTCAGAGAAGATTGACAGTTATTGTAAAATTGAGATTAAAATAGTGTTTCTACAGGGTGTTTCCAAAAAAAATACAGGGTGTTACATTTAAAGAGAATTTATTTCATTTTTAGAAAGTTTGGCATGCAATTTTGAACACCCTGTACGATCTAACATTACGATATTTATAATAAATTAAGTACAGACCAACTACTATAGTAAGTACCTAATATAATTTTGATTTCAGGACACATCTTAAATTTCAATATTTTTTCAAAAATTCTAAAAAATTATTTTCTGATATTTATATCACTGAAATTAAAAAGTAATTAATAAATATTGTATACAGTGTAAAGTAATTACGTAGGAAGCCAAAAATACAGTGGCACACGGTGTTACATATCCCCATCCGCTCACACTTTTTTGAGACACCCTGTAGAAGTTAAAATATTTTCCTGGAAGAGGCCTTAAAGAAAATGTTAATCTTGTTATTATATTTGCAGTCGGCACTAACCATTGAACAAAAGATTTCTTAAGAAATATTGCAAAGAAATGACTTTTTGTATATTTTTGTTTAAATATTCTTATTTTCACTAAAAACTTGCATCATTCGACGTCCTGTATCCTTGAGTACCTGTCCAATAACACCAAAAGCGACATCTAACAGACATACACAAATATGTACAATATCACGTACCTGGTGAATACAGCCGCTATAAACCAGGCAAGAAGGCATATGAGCAATGCCCTGGCTTTGGTGCAAATGTAGCCCGCTTTGAGCGGCTTGCAGATGGCGTAGTACCTTTCGAAGCTGATGGCTAGGATGGTCAGTACTGAGGCGTGAGCCACTGTCAGTTCGACAAAAGGAACTGCCTTACCTGGAAGCAAGAAAAGAAAATTAATATATAATTAAAAAATATTAATTATTTTTGAGTTTGACCTCCCCAAAATTGATCATCATCGATTATCATTCCTAAGCCGTGTTTGACGCCGATTTTTTTCAATTGTATGGTATAAATAGAATGAAGAAATTGTTTCTGAATAAAAATAATGTTTTATTTATTTTATGCTGTCTTTATTTCTAGCTTAATATCGACCGTCTATAAATAATTACAGCACATTTAAAGAGTCTATTGCGCTGTACTTTCGGGTCACTCTCAGGGGTCGGGAAAGCGGGTGTGTGGCCGAAGGAAATATATATTATACCTCAGAAATCTGGCTAAGGCTAAGAACCAGGTGGATGACACTTCTTATGGGAGAACTGGCAATGGTTGAAAACTTGACTACAAGCGATTTTCTAGGAATCTTCCTTGCCGATAAATTATTGACAATAGTGACAGATAAAACCTTGACGTTCTTTCAGTATTCCAGTTCATCTCTTTTTCTTTCTACAGTGTGCGTTGAAAGGAGACAAAATTAATTTTTGGTGACCCATAATTTGTTATTCGAACACCACTTTTCTCCTTGTCGGGTCGTTGACGTTGACTTGTCGCCATTTTATTTCTTTTGTTTACACGCTGCATTTTGCTTTGCAAATTTAATACATAAATTATTTAGGCAAATATAGGTTTTTAATAAAACTCCTCGGACTAACGTGTAGGTAAGTGTTGATAATTTTTTTTTCATCTTAACATGCTCATTGTCGTTCTCCTGATTTTAGGTGACAGAAAAGGATCATCAAATCAAATTGAATTTTATATTTTCCTTCCTATTTATCCTTCCTAAATATCAACGAGATGAGCCATCGGAAGAAAGGGACCATAGTACAAAACAGAAAGGTGATCTTTTTTCTTTCCACTTCGGATATTGAAATTATTATATACTGTAGTCGTGTTCGGCATTATGCTCTGAGAAATATAGATAAACAAAGAACAACAGATATAAAGCATCCCAGAGGAAAAGAGAGGCAATACCTGTATGTACTCTCTCTGATATTTGTGAAAGTTACAGCAAAGTATTGTTGTAAATGTCATCTTTTTGATCGACCTGAAAACTTCGAGCAAAAAGATGACACTTTCAACAATACCCTGACAGATATCAGAGACGATACAGGTTTTTCCTCTCTTTTCCCCTGGAATACTTTTAATTTATTATTCTTTGTTTATCTAGATTTCTCAGAGCACTATGAACGAACTCAGCTTGTATGTTTGAAATAATCGTCCAGTTGGCTTAAAAATGATGATCGAAGACATTTCCCATATAATTTTACTTTCAAAATTATGATATATCTTTTATTTCTAAGCCATCTATGACGCCATTTTTTTTCAGTTTTGTTATAATTAATTTTGTCTCTTGATCTACTTGTAACATTATTCTTTTAATTTTATTAATTTATTGTGGTGAAATTAATTTCTGTTGTATATTTGATATTGATATTAAACATATTTTTAAAAAACGATGTATTTTTTGTGTTTTTGTGTATGTCGTAATTAAAAATAAATGAAAAAATAAATTTTTTTATTTTTTTAAACTTCCCGCCATGCGTGACAATTTAGTCCGTAGTTCCTACAAGCGAAATTAGGGGCGCTAGTAGCAGTAGACTTGTCAACAGTGTAAAAGTTAAACGTCAATTTCAATATTTAGCAAGGCGCTCGCACTTCTTCTTGTGTATGTGTTTTGTGCTAAGAACATAGTGAAGCGACGAGAATAGCGGCGAGCAAGCAGCGCGACATCGCGTCCAAAACAAACCTATGAAGACAAGTACGTGTGAACATAGTAAAGCGATCTGCTCGAGCGGTTAGATCGAGCGGCGAGATCGATTCAAATAATTCTGTTTTCGTCGCTCTCTCGCGCTGTAGAAAACGGTGAGTTCCTTAATATTATTAGATTTAGTGTTTGTAAGAGAGATTTTATGTGACCAAAAAGATACGAGATGAAGGGGCAACAAATTTTGTTAAAGGTTATGAAACTTGCCACAAACTCTCTGGTTTTTGAAAATTTCAAGGACACTACACCTTCTGGTTTGTTAGTTTCGAATAAACCAAATGTTTGCGCGACACTACTATCCAGAATTTTAGGCACTGGTAACATTTTAAATTATCAATAAGCAAATGAAAATAATAAACTTACACAAGTACCTCGTTATTCCTCGCCGCTCTACCAAAGTTTGGCTCTACTATGTTTCAGCACCTCGAGCAGTGTTACCAGATTGGGCGATTTATCACAAATTGGGCGATTTTTCGATTGCTCTGGCGACCTGAATTTTAGGAAAATCGCAAGTCGGCATTTGGGCGATTTTGGCTAAATTAACTATAAATTTTATTAAAAACACAATTAAATCGTATACTAACAATGAAAATGTAGTATCCCAGTCGATCGCAGTGCCTCTGCTGTCAAACCGAGGAAGCTGCTTAAAAGTGGGGACAGAAATTTCAAATTTGCCCATTGCCGATAAATCTCCTTTTTTAAGCCCTCCATAGTTCTCAGTAAGGTTCTCAGTATGTCCTCAGCACGTTTCCAGTCTGCCATTTTTCCCCTTTGTGACGTCATCAAACCACTTAAAATATTAGTCATATTTTGAATTGTGATAGGTACAATCCTTGTAGAATGAAATAGTCGCTTGAGATTTTTATAGGTTTATTATAAAGGCAGGCGGCCACTGCGAGCGTAACTAAACTAAACTAAGAATATGAAAACAAACGGTAATTAAATGGGAACTCCACTGAGAACGATTTTCGCTCAGTAGTCAGCTAAGTTAGCTGCGTTTTCGTATTGTATCTCTGCTATCAAAGAACTAATCGCTGAGAAAAATTCGCTGGAACCTGTCACGAACTAAAACGAGCGAAACTAAACTACTATTCGAATCTTCGTTCATATATTTTCGTTTTGTTTCCGTCTAGTAGCCGCTGACGCATTAAAAAGTATGGAAGCTGATTTTTACAAATCTTATCTTCGCTTAGTTTAGTTTCGCTTGCAGTGGCCGCCTGCTTTAAAAATATTTGGCGACTTTTATTATATTTTGGCGACTTTCGCCACCTCTATTGGCGACCAGCTAAAATAATATCTGGCAACACTGACTTCGAGGCTTGATCGACGCGGTATCGCGCTGCTTGCTCACCGCTATCCTCGTCGCTTTACTATGTTCTTAGCCTAAGGCTAAGCCCGTTGTGTTAAGCCACACTCAACATTCCAAACACAGGTGCTTTGATTAAGGCTTGATTAAGGTTTACAGAGCTTCAGCCTTTGCCATAAAATAGAGAGCAATTGGTTACAAAACCATATAAATTATATATCACTGTAATCACAAAACTTCAATCTATTTCCGTATTGTAACGGAATTTTAAATTATGTCTTTATTTTCGAGAAAATTTAGTCCAAACATAAGGAATGTTTTGCTGATGTTTTACCGTCATAATCTTAAAAATAAAGAAGTTGTCTAAAAATGTGCTCCAATACGGATATAGTATAATCCTTTTTTTTTCCTTCTTCATTTGTGTAAAAATACCACGGAAAATATTACTATCTATATTTAGAACAGTTTTTTTTCTCTTTTGTTTAATTTCCATTTATTTTAGTACTTGTTTTGTCTTCTGTTCGAAGGGGATATTAAAAGGCAACATTCTTAACAAAAGACTTGTCAAATTTAGTGTGCCGCTCCTAAATAAATAACATTGTGTTCATTCAGAGAAAATTTAGCATTTCATCGTCACTGAAAAAAAAACCTTTCAAAAGGAAATTTTCGCATTTTCGGGGTTTTATGGTCGTCTGAAAGATGTTGACGCTTCGAAATAAGATCAAATACCTACTTAATAAAAAAAGGAGAACTAAAAAACATGCAAACTAAGGTTGTAAAAGAATAGTTTTGCAATTTGATTAAATAACAGATTGAAGGAAAATACTAAAAAAATCAGATTTAACACACATTAAAACTCAGATTAAAATCAAATGAACACCAACTTCCCAGTAGTTCTTTACTCGTAAATAAATTTGCCTTATGAAAAAAAATTCTTAATTTTACAAGATACACAGGGTGTCCGAGGCTGAGCGTGCATAAAAAGTTCCTAGAGAACTACAAGATCTAGATCGGAGATTTTTTGCACATCATTGTTTCACAATGAGATCTATGGATAAAAAAAATATTTTCAATATGGCGGCACTTCCGGAAATACCGGAAGTTAACAGCAACTTTCTTATTTTAAATGGTTAACCCCATTTTTTATTACATAATTAAATTATCTGTAAAGTTTTATGAATTTTGATGTCAAACACTCTATACCTAACATTAACCGTTTTTGAGAAAAAAAAATTAAATTTTTAGAGGAAAAAAACTACCTGTCAAAAAAATTTCTATAGCCTCAATGTCAAATTTGGTAATTACCACAGCCACTGTGACATGAAGAGAAGACAATATATCAAAAATAAAATTGTTTGAATGTCATATAATATTGATCGTAGCTGAAAACCTCCGACCTAGATATTATAGTTCTCTAGAAACTTCTAATGCACGCTCAGTCTGGGACACCCTGTATATTTCCCACATTATAAAAGATAAAATAGAAAAGAGATTCTATTTAAAATGTTTCAATACATCAAGAACACCTTAGATTTTTCACACAGTTTTATTTCTCTGTTGACTGTCGATAAAAATCTGACTGTCAAAAAAAGTGAACTGTAAAGATTTACTGTCACAAAGTGTAAATACTGTAGATATGCATAACAAGATAGACCAACAATATTTATTGACTTGTTTTGGCACAACGTACACAAACAGTTCGAGAGAAATATTGCATCTCACCAGTCAAAAAATCCTCAAAAACGCTTTACATAATTGAGGAACACCACCTAAAGACAAAGGTCATTCATAAGAAAAGTTTTTGACCTATTAAAGATGCTTGTACCAATTTCCTGTATAACAGAACCAAAACTGCCTCAAAACGGT